CCCGCGTTGGTGGAGGTCCATGTGACAAGCTGGGTTTTGATCCAGACCTAGGACCAAAGAAGCATGCCCGGCCACTAATGGTCCTCCTGGCCCAGCCCACCACCCTAGTTTAATTACAAATGTTTACTTTGTTTAGCTAAAAATAACTAGGCCTCAGGCTCAGGTATTCCTTCAAAGTTCGTATTGCATATATTTTTGTGTTTGCGATGATATATATAATAAAATATATATAATTTTTTTTATAAATATGACTACAAAGTTAATATAGTTTAGAAATAAAAAAAAGTCAAAAAAACTCATGGGTCGATCTAGAACCCATGGGCTATTGCTGGACCGCCGACCCGTTCTTAGGCGGTCGTGGGCCACTAGCTCCAAGTCTAAACTAGGAAATCAGAAAAGCAGACCCAGCCCACTCTGATCCGATCGAGCCCAGGTTAGACCCGGCTCCGCCGTGAACTCGACGGGTCGGATCACGGGCCTAAACTGGCTTGATCCATGCCCACCCCCTATTTGAGGGCTTTTTTCTCTCTCAACAAAGTTCTAGTTATTGCAACGAGTGTTGCTACAGTGACCGTACAGGTGAGGTGTCAACCTCACCTGTCCCACTATCTGTCCCTTTTTTGGGTCATTTTAGCATTTTTCTATTGCAATTTACAAGCAAGGAGCAGATGTGAGAATTTTAAAGTCCAAAGAGATTTTGTGATACATCCCAAAGTTCAGATAGTTATATGAGACGATAAAAAGATCGGGGGTTTATGTGCAAGAACCCAATGTGTTTTTTAGTGAAATTAACTCTAGAAGTAAATAAAAAAATGAAAATACCTGCGACAAAGAGGTTCCCACACCGTTACACCCAAAAAGAAATCTGGGCCCACACGTAGATAGCTCCGTTTCTGTAAGGGCCTGTTTGTTTTACTAAAAAAAGAGGGAAATCAAAGAAATGGAAAACTATTAAAATGAAGAATTAAATCAAAGAAATGGAAAACTATTAAAATGAAGAATTGGTTTGGGAGTGTTTGGTTGGCTAAAAAAAAGAAGGAAATCAAAAAAATGGAGATGAAATGATGTTAGTTGTCATATTATTATTGGATGATGTGAGTGATTTTTTAAGAAAACTACTTTTGATGTTGTTTGGTTGGCGAAAAAAATAAGGAAATGAATTATAAGAAACATATTTCCTGTAGTTTGTTGTTTTCTTTTGGTTTGGTTCATTCTTAAAAATAAAAAATGAAATGAGATGAGATGAGTTGTCATTGTATTATTGGGTGATGTGATCCAAGATTAAGAAAAGTGTTTTCACAACTTTTTGGGATGAAAACAAAGAAATAAAATGTTAATGAGATGAGGTGAATTGTTATAATATTTTATTGGATGATGTGAGTGATTTGAAATGATGAAAAAAGATGAGTTGAGTGATGTTTGGATGAAAATAATATTTTATTAGATGTGATGGATGAGTTGTTAGATGAAAATAATATTTTATTAGATGTGATGGATGAGTGATTAGATGAAAATAATATTTTATTAGATGATGTGGATGTGTTGTTGGATGAAAATAATATTTTATTAGATGTTGTGGGTGAGTTTTAAGGATGAAAATGGAGAAAATAATACTTTTTGAGATTTTCACCTTTTCCATTTTCATTTCTTGGTTTTTCTTGGTTTTTAGAAAATAACCAAACAGGCCCTAAATCACCAAAAAATTGATCACATGACGTGATATGGTCCCAAAAAGCCTTCCCCTTTTTAAGCTATAAATCCTCTTGTGGGTCCACTGCACATCATCTCAATTATAACCGCGGGACCCAAGCTCTCCCACCTCGAACTTTACGCTGGGCCCAGCTCAAGCTTACGCTCCCGGTGCACGTTAGAACGGGCGGGCGTTCGCATGGACTCGGAGCCATTTCCTCCCATTCTCTGTCGTCTCTTTTGAAACCACCAAAAAATTGTTATCTCTCTCCTCGTCCTTTTCTCAATCCACGACGCGTGCTCTCCAAGCTATTGAATTTATCTTTTCGAATTCCGCCATCGATCTCAAGTTTATCTCTTTGGGCACAACAAGGTTTTTCTTAGAGACTTTGGGGGAATTTGCGGGTGATTTGAATTTTTTGTGGATTTCTAGGGTTTAGGGCTCGGATGAGTAGCGAATCGGATATGGATCGCGATGCGGGGGGATTGGAGCGGTTGAATGATTTGGACCCGCTCCGCGAGAAGGAGAAGCTGCTTGATTCGGCGGAGGGGAGCACAAGCGAGATAAAAGATGAGGAGATCGAGGCTGGCTCTGCTGCTTGCTGCAGGATTTGCCTCGAATACGATGGCGAGCCAGGTGAATTTTTGTTTTTTGATTGAAAATGTTCGATTTTTCATCAATTTTTGCGGTTTTAATGAATGAAACTCTGATTATGATTAGAATTGTTGACATATGTTACCTTATATTTGGATGTAGATAGAGTAGAGGTGATTTGAATATGGAACAGTTGCAAAAATGGGAATTTTTTTATGGGTTGGATATTTGGTCTTCATTAAATAACACTTTCATAATGCGTGCATGATAGTTACTAGTTGTTACATGTGCAATACACATGATTAAGTGTTACAACGTAGTTGCATGCATATTGATGTAATATTAATGTGGTAGGTACCGATAATTGCATGGATGCGAGAAAGATATGAATAATAGTCGTTTCCAAGGGAGATAGTTTAGGAATGAGTGACGCACGTCACATTTTGACAACAAATGTTAGTTGTTCTTGTCTGTATTTGTCTCCTGGGTTTCTCATTTAGCTGAGTCTTCCCGAACCAGATTTTGGCAGCGAATTTACTTTGTTCAACGTCAAGAATCTGGTTATCTTATCTTGTTGTCAAAAATATTTGCGGTGGAAGTTGCAATTGTGCTTCTAGGTGATCTTATTTGTGTTTTGATGAAGAACGGTTATTATGTCATATCCCGCCTTGTCCTTTGTGGAGTTCCCTTATTCCATGAAAATCCAGAGGATACCGATCTAGTCGTGAGCTTAGATTGGGTTCTATTTTGCCTTCTGCATTTTTTATGAAGTTTGCTTGACAAAGCATTTTTTATGAAGTTTGCTTGACAAAGCATTTTTTGATATATTAGTTTCAAACTGATTGAACCATTCGAGAGACTTTGTAACCTTGACTTGTTTGCTTGTTGGATAAGGTTTCATTTTGTTTATAATTTATTAAATTGTACCTATTGTCTAGAGCACAATCTTTTGGATTACATTCTATCTGAATGACACTATAACACCACTGAGGCTATCAGAATTCAGTAGTCATCAATTTTGTACCAAAAAGTAACTTATAGCCTCAGAAGGTTCTTCAGATTAAAAATCGAGGTCTTGGTTTCTTCCTTTTTCCTTGTATCTAAAGTACTAGGAATCTTGTGGACTATATTCCTTAAATTTGACAGAAAAAAGCATTCCGTAGTCTTTTAAATCGTTTAAAATGGAATCAATAACTAGAATATTAGGAGGGGGATCTATACAATCATGTGTTTATAGTCACTGTACATTGTGATGTGTAAAAGGATTTATTATAATATTATTAAATGCATGGTGGTGAAACCAGGATTTGTGGAAAGTAGTGTCACCATATAATTAATAATTAAAAAATTACAATTGTTCATGATGAGTTTTCATATTTTGAAAAAAAAAATCACATCATTAATAACAATATTAAATACATCTTTCTCAAAATATGTAAATAGATAATAATCTATGTTACCTGGGTACTTCCACTTTGGAGCCGTACCCGTTCTTATACCAAATTCATTGGACACTTCTTGCGTATATGCATACATTTAGTTGGGCACGCCTTAAATTATGCAATACATGTTACTTTTAATTTAAAATACTTGTCATGCACTTTTTGGACGTATATCATACACTTCACATCCACTTATTGAAACTCGTTGAATATAGACCAGGTTCCGAATTATTATCTTGGAGGGTCATTTGGATTTCTACTTCAAAAACTAGTAAGTTTCCAATTTATAATCCGCGTAATAAAAGAAACATAAAAATGTTGTAGGAATTTTAGTTCTCATCATTGTTCTCATAAAAATTATCAATTCCAATATATAATATACGTATATAGATGTTTATATAGCTGTGTCCCCATACTCTACCTTTCACAAATTTGCCATGTCCCATACCCGTATCCCTACCCGTACCCATGCAACATAGATAATAATTGAGCCAATCATTTCTTTTAGTAGTAAAACTACCAATTATAGCGCCATTAGTTACACTAATAATCATCCATTGCAAGGGCGGATCCAAATCTTTAGCTAGATTGTGCACTAAAGAGCCAGTGTAATGTGTTATATGCATATTAGAATCAAGTGAGATATTTACATAGACGCCATAAGTTATGATGTACTAAAGTTGGAGGGTGAGAAGTTCTGGGTGCAAAATCCAAACAAAATATTGATTTGGGTGTATATCAAATCATATGAGCAATAAGAGGTTAAAAGGACAAAATTTCAACATTCAGCCAGTGCTTATCTGAAGCTAGTGTGGCTATTCCTCGGAGGAAGTGGTGTCACGTGACACCACTTCCTCTATGGTGGATCCACTACTGTAAATGCCTACTTGAATAAATAATTATTGTCCTAGTACATGTATCTACAAATAACTTGTCTCACTGTCATCTATTGGCAGAAATCATTGAGCTCCCCAACTAAAGCGGTTTGCCTGAAGTATAGCTAGATGATGTCTAAGGTCATTCATTGTATACTTATGACTTCGACAACAAAGTTACTAGTAGCACTAGCTTATTTGACCTGGTTTTTGCGAACACGTATTTTGACCATGAAAAGACTATAGTGGAACAAAGGTTTCGTGGTCTTTATCCTCGTTTGTTAAGATTTTAACCACTGTTTTAAAAAACCTCTACCTAGTCCGCTTAGACGTACGCCTAGACCTAGGCGGTACCTAGGCCGCCTAACTAGCGCCTAGCGCCTAGGCGGTATTTAGGCTGCCCATCTAGATTTTACGAGCGTTTAGGGGAGCATTGTCTGCTTACGTGGATTGCACCCTGTAGGCCGTGATTGTGATTTTATGTGTCGTAGCCTACACGTCCTCCAAACTCCATTAACCTCTAAATATGAACACTTTCACTACCTCCTCCAACCTTCAGCAAAACCTCATCGACCAACACTTAAATGAAGAAAGAAAAAAAAACGTTCAGAAACCGCTTAGGTGCCCGCCTAGGTGACTAAGCGCTGAGCGCCAAGTCCGACGCCTAGAAGCGCCCAACGTTTAATGTAACATTGATTTTAACAGTGTATAAGGTTTAACAAGATGATTGATTAATTTAGGTCATAAAGAGGAATAAGAGAGCTGGGTTTAGATGGAACTATTTCTTTCTTCCTCTTCTCTTTCATTCAAAATTTTTTGAAGTATGGGGAAGAAGAGTGCTGAGTTGGTTGATGATGATTCACGGAGAAATCTTTTCACGCTGAAAAAAGATATGGAAACATCTAGGATCAAATTTTTATCAAATATTATAATTGATTCCTGGGTTAATTGCGGATACACCCCTTGTAGTATGGTAATCTTAAACTTACGAGCCCTCTAGTTTTGTTTTGGCAGATACATCGTCTCAGCTAATTTTTTAACTCTTACCCGCAGAGAGGAAGAAAACCGGGTTTTGACTAATAGGCCCAAGAATCCAAAAAGAAAAAGTATCACTCAAGGGGTCTATCTGCAAAAATAAAACTATAGGGGTTGTAACTTCAGAACAATGATACTACAAGGGGGTCTATCTGTAGTTATCCCTTGACTCTAATTTATGTTGGCATACATATGGGAAGATAATATAGAAGTAACAATGATAACATATCACCAATGTGACAGCTAGAGAGGGAATGAACTACGTGTGTATTTATGTTGCATGTATTATTCTCTGAGACCCTATTTAGCAATTGGCTAGTAAACGAGAAAGTGAAAATTTGACTAAAACACAACATGGTCATTTTCCGCTATTTTTTCATCGGCAATACGACAAAAACTCTGTCGCTTTCCATGCCATGTAGGATTTCAGAAGTACAACAAGGTGTATTTGGTATTGCCTGTAGGCTATGTTTTACTGCTTTGAAGTAAATAAGTGCTGAAAAGAAAAGAGAATTAGAAGTAAAAAAATGATGTCTAAAGAAGCTAAATTTGGCTTCTCATAAAAAGCCCGCCCATGTGCACACTTTTTTCTCCTATGTTTTAAATGATATCTCAGAAAGTTTCAGCTTTTACTAAAATTTTGAATTAGCTCTCTATTTTTCTCAATACCCTTGTGTAAATTTGTCGATTTACATGAATTCTTATCCAAATTCCGTCTAATAATTCTATTTTCGATATTGATATTTCTCGATAGCACTTATGACTCTAAAGGTAGCTAACGTCTTGTTTCTAAAATTTATCACCTAAAAATGATTTTGGATTAATCCATTTCTAAAAGGGCCTATCTGTAAGTGAAATATACACCAAACACACCCTAAGCCATTTTGCTTTCATCCAAAGAAGTGGAAAATGAAGATAAAGTGGGGGAGAGAGATACTCATTATTATTTTTTTCAATCGTTTCTTCATCTTTCCTATTCTTATTCTAATTGTAACTCAATTTTGTATTCCTAAATTTTCTTCAGAATAGACAACTTTTTACCTATTAGAAAGTAGAAACGCACAACACTATCAATCCCCTAATTAGTTTAGCACCTTTTCTCCTTGCCCATTGACTTTATATGTTATAGGTTGAGATTCTATTTCAGCTGAGGCTATTATGAAAAGATAGGAAATCTAAATTAATATTTAAGAGCCCTATGTTGCCGCATCAAAAATAAAAATATAATCTGTTGTGAATAAAATAGTCATTTTTAATTGCATCATCCCTATTTATTTAATGCTTCCTTAGTGACACATGCCATATGAAGAAGACAAAAGGCAGTATATACAGGTGATAGTTACCTTCGTGGCTCTTTGCACATGAGTGTGAAGCAAATAAGATATGTCAATTATAACCCATTCAGTTCCTTGGGGAGCAACACTGACATAGCTTGTCTTTTAAGAATGTCAATTATAGCCCATTCAATTCCTTGAGGAGCAACACTGACATAGCTTGTCTTTTAAGTAGAGATCTCGTAGAAAATCATTTTGGTCTACGAATGGCCCCTATCATTTAAGGTACAAAAAATGTACCTATTGAATAAAGGTGAAAACTTGTTTGGGTGACTGAAGCTAGTACTTGTCGTTTTGTTGCTCCTACTTTAGCATGGTGCACGAATGGTTCTAGCAAGTTCTTGTTTGTAAGGTTCTTCATCAGCTAGCTACTCATAACATAATTCAAGATCTTTAAAAACTGCATATCACCTCATCCTTGGTGTTCAACCCCTGTTGCAAATAAGATCTGTCAATTATAACCCAACAGGTCCTTGGGAGCAACACTGACATAGCTTAGAGATATTGTAGAAAATCATTGCGGTCTATGAATGGACCCTATCATTTGAGGTACAAAAAATGTACCTATTTAATGATGATGAAAACTTGCTCGACTAACTGGGGCTATTACTTGTCGTTTTGTTGCTCCTATTTCAGCATGGTGCACAGATGGTTCTAGCAAATAATATATGTATGGTTCGTCATCAGCTAGCTACTCATAAGTCATAGTTCAAGATCTTTAATAACAGCATATCACTTCATCGGCTCATCCCTGTTGTTCAACCCCTGCTGTTAAAGAATTTGTTTGAAGGATTTTTACTCAATCATTTATTTAATTTTGTAGAAAACATCCTTGTCTGATAGTACAGTATTCAATAGTTATTACCAGTTCATGTTCTTATGGCTTTGTTCTTATTTAAGATGAACTAATCAGGTACATAAATGGGCAATCAATAGTTATTTATGACATGTAAGCATGTCGAATGTTCCACCGTTAACTGTAACATGACTTACCTAGATTTTTAAAAAGTCTTTAAAAGGAGATGCCAATCTACACTTTTTGCTCTTAAACATAATGAAGTTTATCATTTACTCAAGTATCTAATTTCTGAGCGATTACAGTCGCTCTACAAATTAGCTATTTAACCTGTAAAGTAACATATTAGTGCTAGTGACCATAATGAATTCACATTTGTATTTATTATAGTCTCATCTGATTTGTTGTAGGTGATGAGTTAATATCTCCATGCATGTGCAAGGGAACACAACAGTTTGTTCATCGTTCATGTCTTGATCATTGGCGTTCAGTGAAGGCAAGTACATGTATATCCATATCCTAATACATGTAAGAATGATTAAATATCATAATTATGCTTGTTTAGACAACTGTAACCCTAGTAAATATCTGGATGAAAAGTTCAAGGAACTAATTGCTTTTCACGGGAAAGAGCAGAAAACCCTTTTATAAAACTTGCCATTTTTGGACCAAGGTTTTCGAACAACATCCTGCAGGACCTACACTAAGAAGATTCAGGCGGACAATGCATGCTAAATTTCCACAATGTATTTTGGCAGGATAGTCCGTGTCTTTTTCCATTAGGTTCTGATTGAAATGCTTATCATGTACATGAGCAAAATAATTTATGCTTAAGCTCAAGTTATCCCCTAATTCTTTGTCTAAGGTGCAAAAGGTTCAGAACAGAGAAAAGGAATAATATGGAGGAACTTGAATATGTTAATTATCCAGCATGTATTTCCAGATCCAAATGGAGAAAGAAAACTTTTTTGTGGTAAAAGAAAAACTCGTAGAAATTATTCTCTTCATATTATTGAACGATGCATTCCCTTACCTGTCTAAAATGAAATTAAGACGAGTGACTTTTCACTATTTGCACTTGGTTCTGACTTGTGATGTGCAACAAATTACTATACAGTAAGCTCATATTATTACCCTGTTGGGTAAGTATTAGAACTTTAAGTTTGCATGGTATGTTGGAAAATCTTGGAATGTATTTAATGTCTTGTAGCTTTTTATTATTTCTTACAGGAAGGATTTGCTTTTTCTCATTGTACTACATGTAAAGCGCAGTTCCATCTTCGAGTGGAACAAATAGTGGATCAGTCATGGCGGCAAATGAAGTTTCGTATTTTTGTAGCCAGAGATGTCCTCCTTGTGTTTCTGGCAGTGCAGACAGTAAGCAAGTCTGAATTCCTGTGTGCTTACTTTTTCGCTTTGATACTAGCTTAGACGTGCTTACCTATTTTGGTTCTTTCTATTAAAGGTGGTTTGTGATGTTCTGACTGGCTTATACTAAGTACACGGTAATAATGGTTAATTTTCTGCCGATACTTTGGAAATAAAGCATGATTTTTGGCATCTTTGAGAGTGAATTGGCAAGACATGAATAAATATTAATGTTCAAGAACTTTTGTATTCAGCACGTTACTGGTTTCATAGGTCAAAAAAGTGCAGTTTCAACGTTGAGCCTATTTGTTTAGGGCCCTTGATGACTTCAAAGTTGCATGAACCATGAAGTTTACTTGCCTCTGATTGAAAAGCATCGAGGATGTTTTTTTTCACTGATGTATCACTCTTTCATACCTTGGTTAGAAGGACATTAAAATTCTGATTATTGTAATGCATTAACCAACAGTACGTTGTTAACTATTGCGTCCTTCGATCCATATTAGATAGTTACTCCACTATTAAGATTCTTGCACCCATAGAACTCAACTGAAATCTGAAGATATGGTAACGACGTGAGACAGTTTATCCTTTGAAGTTGATTTCCAAAGAATATTTATCCTTTTTTGATTAATTTTGATGTCAAACTTTGAAGTTGATTTCCAAAGAACTAGTTAAATTTGGATATGATTGCTGTATCCATTAAAGCTATTACTTCTCAAAAGCATCCATTATTGTAATATTTTTATAGGAAAAGTGTGTGCATAAATCATGATAACCGCTCCATGCAGGCCTATAGATGATCACAAATTACCTTTTCTCTGCTTCTTTTGATTTGCAGGCAATTGCTACTATTGGTACTTTTGCATATTTCTTGGATAAAAATGGGAGTTTCAGAAATTCTTTCAGTGATGGTTGGGACCGCATATTGTCAAAGCATCCCATACCCTTCTACTATTGCTTAGGTAACTTTTATTTCTATGAAATCAATAGCATGTTCTTACTCCTAGGTTGTAAATCTGTTGGAACTGATCATATAATCAAATGAATTGCTCTAGGCCTACAGATAGTGTCTTGGCTTACCTCCTTGAGAAATTTTGATAATATACCTTGCCGTCAAATTGCAGGATAAAGTTGTGGCTGCATTATAACTTATCTTCTCTCAAAGTGATAGTAATAGCAGCATGCTTTGATGTTCATGTTTTACTAGCTATCTTTTCTCACAGTTTATGTTCTCTTTTAATGCATGTATCATGAAATACGTTGCAAATGCCATTTCCTCGCTTCCTTACAACCATCATAACAATGAAAATTATTTTCAGGCGTCTTGATATTCTTCGTGCTATTGGGCTTCTTTGGCTTGATATTGCATTGCTCTTCCCTCAATAACAATGATCCATGCATGGCAGGGTGCCGCAACTGCTGCTATGGATGGGGCATCCTGGACTGTTTCCCTGCTTCCATGGAAGCTTGCTTTGCCTTGGTAGTTATCTTTGTTGTTGTTTTTGCCATTCTAGGCATTGCATATGGTTTTCTTGCAGCTACTATGGCCGTCCAGAGGATATGGCAGAGACATTACCACATCCTTACAAAGAGGGAGCTCACTAAGGTAAGAAGCTCATATTTGAGGGACCTAACCTCTATTTAATTTTTTTTTTTAAAAAGGAAGAAGAGATAGAAAGAAGACCTATAGAGGGCTCTCTATCGAAGATCATATTGGGAGAGATAGGGGATCAAGACGCCTAGAACAAAACTTGATGTGCACACCACTATCAGCGATGAGTGCAATACGCACTGATGGATAGTAGTGATGTGTGAATCATAATTAGTGCTAGACCAGATGTCCCTATCTCTCTATATGATTTTCTACACAGGGCCCTAGTTTTTTTTTTTGCCCCGCAAACTCATGCCATATTACATGATTATGGTATTAAAAACTTTGAATCATGTACCATGTGATGTAGGAATATGTAGTAGAGGACCTACGTGGATGTTACACACCTCCAAAGCTGGACCAAGAGCATGAAGAGCGCCTGAGATTGCTCAAGCTTCTTTGATGGCGACCGAACAATATTTTCCTTTTGTAGAGTGTTGGAGTATTTGTTGATTGTAATCTGGTACATATCTGAACCTGAGATATTGAAATAGATAAATCGATGTAACAGCTTGGTTGCTTGGCATTTTAATTGTCGATTGTTTGTGATGGAAGTGGCTGTTTGTTTTGTACAGTCTTATTCATCGTTCATGCATCTGCTCACGCCATGGTTCGAGGCAACTAGCAAGGCAATAATCCCCCACATATATACATAGTTTGAAATCCACTCAAAAGAGCATTTATTTTAACAAAAAAAAAAAAAAAAATTAATGCCCTTTAGTTGTCTGGAGTACTCCGACGGAAGGAGGATGAGTAAAAATAAATTGTGATGGCTGATGGAATTTTGCAACTAAGTTGGCGACGGGTGGTGCTGTTGCTCGATATCACACAGGTTGCGTACTTAGAGAGGGGAGTTTTTTAATAATTCCCTATTTTCTATCAAATTTTTTTTTTTGTTTTGCATAATATACCCCTTTCTCCTTTTTTTTTTCTTCTCACGTCTCTCTCAAACTTTGACCGCCATTGGACCATCACCGGCTTGCCAGCCATCGACAGGCTCCCTCTCAAGATGAACGTTGACTGTCTCCGTCATCGTTAATCCAACTCGAGTTAGGCTTCAACATAAAAAAACATTTACATGAATATATTTTAACTAAAAAGAGTTTGGAAGACTTTTCTGAAAATAACTTATTTTAAATTATCTAATATTTCGAAGAGCCATCGCTTCATTGATTAACAATTTCTCGAGCGAGCCTATGCTGTGGGCTGTGCTGTGATGGTCTGACTGACTGGGCCTGTCTTCTGACTATCGGCTTTCCATCCAAGTGTCCACGTGGCAACTGTCTCCACAAATAAGTAGCCCTCGCTCCTCGTCGTTCTCCAACTCCAGCCCCTTCAGGCTTCTAAATCTCAATTTTCTCTTCTTTTCCCCTTTTTAATTGGGGGCATTTTAGAGTGTATTACATAACTAAAAATTACAAAATTTCCACAATTTCTTCTCCAAATTTACGTTTCGATTTGTTGAATTTGGGGCCTGCGTTAGGTTATTAGCGTCCGTTCTCTTGTTTTTTTAATTGCGAGAGATCCAATTAGGGCTAGGGTTAGGGTTTTCTAAAAGGGGAAATGGAGAAGAAGAAGGTGGCGGTTCCTTTAGTCTGCCATGGCCATTCTCGACCCGTGGTGGATTTGTTCTATAGTCCGGTTACTCCCGATGGTTTCTTTCTCATCAGCGCCAGCAAAGGTGAAGTCTTTGGTTTTGAACCGATCCCTTATGATTTTTGGTGGAATTGCTGATTTTTTTCTTTTGACTATGGTTTGTATTGGTTGATGTTTTCAGATTCGAGTCCCATGCTGAGAAATGGGGAGACTGGGGATTGGATTGGAACGTTTGAAGGGCATAAAGGTGCAGTCTGGAGTTGCTGTTTGGATACCAATGCCCTGAGAGCTGCTACGGGCTCGGCCGATTTTTCAGCGTATGTTACTTTTTTTTTTGTCTAGCTGTTGTTAAAACTTTCGTTTGTCGGTATACTCATGCATATGATGAAATGAGTAGATAATCACATAGACGAGTTTGTATTTCTAATTCATCTTCGGACTATATTTGGTTCGTCAAATTTAAGTCTTATAACTAATTTGATCGTCAATTAGCACCCCTCAACTACTGTCTTGGCTGCATTTATCAGAACCTGCTAGCTTTGGTTGCATATGATCAACAATACAAGAGTGGCAATATTTACTACATGTACGCGCATATAGGGGGAGATCCGCCCTTGGCAAAAGTGGTGTCGCGTGACACCACTTTTCCACCCCCCCCAACCCAAAAACAAAGCCCACGGAGGGTCCCCCTTCACTTATTCACTCATCATCTGTAACAAAAAAGTTGGACCCTCAAATGTAATCCTTAGAAATCAAGTATCACAACGTTGAGTGATAGATTTACCAAAGGGATCCTTCACTGAAAAAACCCAGACCCAACTCCTATGGCCGGCAATATGATCTATCCTTGGTGTATTTTCTTTTGAAGATTGCATTGATTTTACTTGTGGCTACCACAACAGTGGAAAAAGCTCTTTCTGTAATAAAGTTGAGAAAGGTCAAGTTGCGGAATAAAATGTGTAGTGATCACTTCAATAATTGCTTAGACGCATATTAAGAAAATTGCATTTGATAGTATTATTAACGATACATGCCTTTTTCAAAATATGGAAACTTGTATGGGACAATTGTAAACTTTTTAATTATTAATGATGCAGTGACCACTTTCTAGAAATCCTGGATCCACCAAGGTATGCATATAGCATGTATTTAGCTGAAACTTGGTGAATATCTCTGTCACTGTTATATGTATCACCAAGCGGCAACTGTGTTAGTATGGACAAAAACATATGCTGAAACTGTATCGAGAAGAAAACTCAGAATTTGCATTGTCTTGGTGTCTCTACATTTTCAAAAGAATGGATGGTTATCGGTAAAGATCTAGATTACTTGGGTACTTCTATTATGGAGCCGTATCTGTACCTATACCCAACACGTGTCGTACTCGTACCCGATACTTCTTGGCACTACTATATGCATATATTTATTGAGAATCATACTCAATTATGCAATTCATGTTTAATTTAAAACATTATCATACACTTCTTGGATATATATTCTACTCTCCACATCCATTTTGTACCTTGTTGGATAATGGTTGAGTTCGTTTTAGCCTTAAGAGCTACGATTTAAAAGGTGGTTTACATATATGGCTCAGAACTATGGTTATATGCCATGAATTTCAGTCGTGTCCTCGTACCCTTTCACAAATTTGATGAGTCCTGTACTCGTGCCACTTAGATAATGGAACAGTATAGTAGTAGAGTAATGAAGAAGTTGAAGGGAAAAGGTCGTTTGTTCGAATTTCCATCATCTGTTGGGATTTTGAACTAGAAAATACCCTGTTTGTGTTGCATATGAGCCTTTACAAGATGAGTTTATCCCAAATAAATTCTGAGATGTCTTTCTCTTAGGAGTTGATGATGTTG